AGTTCTCTATAATTTTTTCAATTCACAAATGTGATTTTGCCCTCACGATAAGATCAAAATGGCCACAGCAGGTAACGGGTTAAAATAACTTGGCTCGGCCAATGCATTAATTAATGCAAGTTATTAATCAAATTAAATTAACTTTGTCATTACAAGTTGAATAAGAAAATACTTAATAACATATTATAGATGCATTGCAATATCATTTATAAACTGTTCTCTCTTACATACATTAAAATCAAAATATTCAGTTTTAAATCTTTCTAAACAGAAATTAATATAATTTACATAAAAGTATGTTGGAAGATTCTCAGAAAGACAAATGAAGATTATCCCAGAACAATATGAATATATTATTGTTGTACCCTCAAGCCTGAATACGACATTCTAAAAATCTGCAGTTTTAAGACTCATATAATGAGGATGTGGTTATAATTTTCTCCAAAGTTTTAGAACCTAATTTAGCCATATATAAAATGTGAGATAGGTAAAAGTGACCAAAAGTAGTTACTATTTAGTAGTAAATTAATCAGTGAATACTGCGAGAGTGGACTCTTTCTAAGAGTTTGAAAAAGTCTGCAAGTTACTTATACACAAGCTGTTAAAAAATGCTGTTGGTAGTGGGATGATTTTAGTAACAAAAAGAACTAGAATCAAATTAAACATGATGCCAAGTGCACAAAATGAGAACAAAGATTTACTTGAAATGATAACATAGTGAAAAAATCAGGAAAAACATTATAGAAATTTTAAAGAATATCAAGAAGTGAATAAAAAAGTTAAAAGAGGTCTGAGAAGAAAAATAATCAAAAAGAGAAGAATTTCAATAATAAGAAAGATAACTTACAGAAGAATTACCTTTAAAACTCAATATGATCAAAGCCAACATTTAAAAAGCCATAGGAAACATACAGAAGGATTTTGTGGTATTTTTCAGCATACAGATTTATGACAGATTAGTCAGTTATAACTCATTAACTGTTTCAACATGGGCTCGGTCCCTGGGACCGACCTCGTAACCATAACCTCGTTATAATTTACATGCTAATAATTTTTAATATTTTAGGTGTATCTTTACAAAATTTTGTAGACTTATAGTAAACATTATAAGCCTTTTGCACACAAAAAATCAGATTTTTCAATGAAGTATTTTTACTTACATTTACCATGAAAATATTGATTCTTTTTTTAACTAGTCTAAGTGCAAAGTAATTTTCATGTCAAAATTAAAATACTTTTCGTCATCTAAAAAATCTCAAATTACCCTTGTGTAATCCCTAAAACCTCCTAAATGCATTGCAAACGTTTTTTTTCCACTAAATCCTTATAGTTTTATGTTATTTTCTCTACCCTATCTCAAAACGGTATTGGTCAGTTTGACCAACCTCATAA